GATATTTTGTATAGATATTTCAACTAGCAATCATTTTTTTTAATTTGCTTGTTTGTGAATTTTTACCTAGCAATTATGACAAACCTACAAGCAAATTGCTAGTTTGCTAGCGTGAATTTCGAGCCCTGAAGGGGTACGTCTTATATACCTGACATGCAAAAATCATTTTATTTTAAAATCTTATCAAACTTGGGGGTCGTCTTGTGCCTGTGCCCAATCAGCATAATTATATGTTGTGTGTATAGGACGACCCCCTATTTTTCGATCGTAATTTGCTATTTACGATTAACATGTTTTGAAAACCGTTTTGAATATATTTAAATTTTTCGTCTCGAATTCTGCCATTGTAAATCAAACTTTTTAACCTTTGTTTTTCGACGCAATTCTTCTTTTTCAAATTTTATTGTATTTTGACCAATTTTACTGATGATTTTGTACATATATATTTTTTAATTTGAATTTTATTGATTGGTATATTTTACTTGAATATCTTATGCTAATTTAATTTATGTTCTCATTGTCATCGGAGAGCCACTAGACAGTGATTCAGTTCACTATTTGGCAATCCTGCCCGCCCAACTGAGTGTTGTTTTTTGCTCTCTGTTATCTTGTGTTTGACAATTTTAATGTTTTTGGACAAAATATATGAAATGAAATGAAATCACCTTATACGCAAGTATATGTGGTTTCACAATGTGGACTTCCCTTATTTAATGAATCAAACTTCTATTTTTGCTGCTACTACTGATGCTTCTTAAGTTACTATTTTCTCTGGTTATGGTATTTTTACATTAAATATTAAAGAGACTCAGGTTTTCTTACACTATGTGCCGTTAGCCATATAAAGAGTCGCCAGATCACCATCTTCATCAATTTCTCTCTTTCTGACATCAAACCTGGATTATTCTTTAGAATTCACTGGCACTTCCTAGTGATCCCAAATAAATCTGATCATATTTTTAAACCATTTCTTTCTTATACTTATGTTTAGTCTCTTTCCTAAACTTCGACCCTACTAGCCTGAACAAACGATCCATTCTATGATTTAAATTGAAGCATTACGGTGTTTGTATAGAAAACGTACCACTGTATGTTGGTATTACTGTATACATATTACAGTAACATCTCCCTAATACGTACCCCTCTGTCCGAACAGAGTTCGTAAATGAGAAAATTTTTAATCCAGAGAGTTGAAATTTTTATAGCATCAGGGTGGCCTAAGCCTTGTCATGAAATATGACCTGGATTTTACAGTTTTCTGCAACAAAATAATACTTTACAGAAGCCAAAATTACCTGTGCTCACTGCGAAAGTATTATTTCAATTGATTTCCAAATAAAAACATGGCCATAATTGCCAAAACGAATGTTAATATTCCCAAATCCATGCGAATAGCACCCCCAATGAAAAAAAATTGAGATTTACTGTACAGTATGCCTGAACAAGCATGCACAGCACAAGTGTAATATATTACAGTTGAAAACGATTGATATTTCTTGCTTTAAACTTAGTTTTATGTCACTTTCTTGGTTTAAATGTTTTCTTTCTTACTTGCTGTAAAATTTTATATTATGTTTGAAGACATTTAGACGCAATTTTAAGTGTTTTTGTAGTTAAAAACGATCGTTCATCATTGCCGCAAATTTGGTTCGTAAAATCAAGAGTTTGTAAATGGGAGGTTCGTAATTGGGACATGTTGCTGTATGTGGAAAATGGCATATGATAGCTCATGATTCAAATAGAAAATTACAAAAAATTGAATGTCCGTTAGTGGTAGTGCATTCATGAGTACACTACCTGATTCGGTATAGTATTCACTATTTGTGCACAATATTGTTCAATTCTATCCCTGCCCTCCTTATATGTAGTCACAGAAAATATTATTACTGTACTTGTAGAAGGAGAGAAGGCACGTTCAGGTCAGAGAAGGTAACCCCATGTCACGTGGATTCTTCTGGAGAGTCTTCTTTTATCACACCTTTCAAGGAAGGTAAAATTTCAAGACAGACATTGTCAGGACCTCAGCCTAGCAGGTTATTTGACAAACCAAGATCATGTAAAGTCAGAGGTCATTCAGGAGCACCCTTTGCAAAGAAGCTAAAGCTGAACTTGTTCTCAGACGATCGGGTAGATGATCATCAAGGAATAACTGAGCTGCCAGAGAGGTCATGTGATATTGATGGAGATTTTGGAAGATTGATGAGGGATGATCAGCTCAAGCGAATCCAAGCTAAGAAGGTTTGTCACAAGTATTAGTAAAAATAACATCATCAGTAACATAACAAGGAATTATAATAATTGAAATCAAATTAATGATGATGGTAATAGATGTCTTCAGGAGGAATTCAAGTTCTCCTTTTTACTGCCAAAGATCTACCTCATCATCTTGGTGCCTCTGTACCTCCTGTAATTTATAATCAATGAGGTGAACTGAAGATTCAAGAATCAAGATATATTTATAGGTCAAACACAAGTAAAAGATAAACATGGTTCAAAACTTATAAATTATAATGATAATATTCATTAAGCGCAGACAACTCTGTATAAAAACCTGTTATAAAAAAAGAACTACAAAGAATTTCTTTCAAATTAATAGAAACATGTATAATATAAGGAATATCAAATTTAAATGTCTTGGAATTATTATTGTCTTTTGTTAGAGTTATACAGTGAAGCCTCAGAGAGGAAATCTTCGGCAGAAACGGCAGTCATTGGAAAGAATCAAGCTCAGTGATCTAGTGGATGGAGAGCTCCCACGGAGATACGACGAAGAAGAGGTAAAGTCATTTAAGCATTCCATTCTCATGCAACATCTTGTAACTTAATATTAACATATTGGATCAGAGGCAGATCCAGTGGGAGTTGGCCGCGGATGGGGTCAAAAAAGAGAGTTCATATCGTGGCCCTCTTCCTTCCAATTCATTCACCACTACGAAAAATGTATCGGCGATATCAGAACTAGGGCCTAAAGCAACATACATACAGTAGCTCAACAGGATATGAACTTGTGTGTAGACCTGATTAGAAGAAACATTGGATGGAAATGTAAACTAGAAGTTCCATTATATTTGTTTTTATTTAAATTTTTGGTCACTTTTTATTTTTGATCTCTTATGGGAGATAAACTAAAACCGTATTCACAAAGAACTGCTGGGTATAACCATTGTCTAGTACAATCTTAGGTTAGACCATTCACATTGATCTGGAAGCTAGGCAAAAGGTGGAATTGTTGCTATGGCTTCCTACTGTAATGTAACATTAAACATGGCTATGTGATATACTGGTCAGATTGCATATGTATCACCGCATTCAACTTTGTTAGTTTACTTGCTTGAAAACTTTTTCTTTAACTCTGAAATTGCATTCTAAATATAAAACAAGGCAGAACAGTATGTGTGTTCATCTGGGCTGTCACTGCGTCATATGACGGTCATACAATGAATCCAACTTCACTTCTTGTGAGCACCAGATGATGCGACACAGTCTGCGCATTATCAGTGACAGTCTTAACAGATCGTCATTAAAAATACGAGCGTCATGGCGTTAGCGTTGCCCGACGACCGTTAAACATAGAGTGAAATAATGGACTTTAACCTAAAATCCTGTGATTGGAAGATAAGCGACATTTACCACTAAGCTACAACTTCACTTTAATAGATGATTTTATTTCTAGGATTTCTACTTTTTTTCTTCTGAACTAGATGTTTTCTTCTGGTGTACTGCGATCTACAGTGGGTGTTACCGCAGCCTCTGCAGAGGAGTTCCAGTTCATTGGATTGGACCACTTTTCGGAGGGGGTTCTCTCATCAGGAGGAATTCAACTTGCAGATGGTGGTACCCTTATCTTTGATGGTGCAGGTAGAGCAGGAAAGAAGGAATTTTATAAGTAAGTTACAAAGGAAATCATAATATTTTTTTAATCATATTAATATTTCAGCCTTTTAAAGTCCCTATTCACATGAATCAATCATTGAATATCTATGGAACAGCTCCCAGAAATATAATAATAATAATAGATTTAATATAGCGCTTTACACCAGAGTCTCAAAGCACTCAAAGAGTGGACTAGCTCGTCCAGTAACTTTCTTCTCCCTTAAGGGTCTATTTGTGCTGAGCTGCCTGGTAAACCGGTGGTACACCGGGTAACCCCCTAATAGTCTTGAAAGATATACCGAGTTCTGTAAAAAGCACATGAACCAATTGTGCCAACACAACAATGAGTCTGTGGTTTATAGTCCTTATCCTGGAAGACTTTTTCCGCCTCCAAAACCGTAGACGAGCATGCTGTTTTAAAACCAGCGCCAATGTTATGGCTGTAGGTTAGGATGTTTTGACTGCTCGGTCAATCGACTAGAATTGCTTCTTTTATCCTTTGATGTTAAAAAAATGGTTATAACAATAATACCGCATTTCACACTAAGCCTTAACCATGACGAAAATGTATCCCCATCAGACACCATCCCAGTATTTCTGAGTCTAAATTTTGAGGCAAGATTCCTTAGTCTCGCAGCTAGCATTCAGCACATTAGCCTGGGTTCCAGGCCCTAATTTTAGGTTACTCACTCTTTATTGCACTTAGTGCGCGCCATACCTAATTTAATTGTCGTCCCATACTCGAATTATTTTTTTTGAATTAGGGCCTGGGCAAACGATTCATGCGTGCATTTCCCAGTGACTCAGTTTTGTGGCTCCAAAAATATGAACATTTGATTGGTTGAAATTGTTTATTTCGGTCCGCCCATTTATCCAAATACGGAATATAAGATTACGTCATTCTTTTGGCATCCTGGTGCCTGATTTCAGTGTTTTACAAGTCGCTTATTCCGTCTCTAAATTAACTTTCTCGTTGGTGGCGCTGTCCAGAAGCAGAAAAATAATAAAAAATAAGAGACTTGTGGCAAGTCTATCAGCACATGTGCACATTTAGAGTTACCACTTAATGCACTTTTTTATGGGGAAAGGGTTTCACGGTTTCTATTCTATTTTATTGTTAAACTTTTCATTAAGAGTTTGGACCGCACACTAACTGTTCTCGGCCAGCCGCACTTAAAAAACTTAAACATGTATTGTTGACGGGCTGAAAAATGGCTCACAGTATGTTGCAGGCATGAGGTGCAACAATTCACAATTCTTAAACTGCTGCCTACTAATTGGTCCTTTGGGATGTATCTCTACGGTCGTCCTGTGGCAAAACAACGTAACTGCTGTTATAGTTTTGTCCAGTTACGTTGTTTTACCTTGGAACGGCCGCCTGTTTGCCTGTACTTTTACATGACTATATAATGTCATACCTATTGTGGCTAATGTTCCCCATAGCATATGGGGCTTGCAATGTCAAAGCCAGCAATATAAGACAATTTATGTTTTAATGTATTCATATGGTCCACATTATAAGCTTTAAAATGATAGGTCATTGTAAACTGGAATCGACTTACTATTGCCAATGTTGTGAGTAAAAAGTGTATACAATATAATTACTCAGTTTAACATTTAGTGACAGTATGCTGGCTTTAGGGTGGCAATCTTTATATTATATAAAAGAAATATACTTAACTCGTGGAAAGGCAAATCTAATTTTACAGATATTAACCATTGTTTATATGTTTAACAATGATTGTCTGCAATTATTGTGTATAACAACTAACAATGTACTAATTTTTATGCTTAACTTTTCCCCTGCAGTGCTTTAATGGACACTCCTGGAGTCGACCCCAGGTTCGTGACCCCGGAATGGGTGTACAATCACTATCGCTGGATTGTCTGGAAGTTAGCCTCCATGGAACGTTCCTACCCAATGCAGTTTGGTGGAAGGTAAGTTAAATTTCAAGACATGTGGGCTCCAATGAACTGATTGGATTTCTAATGGTATTGGTTTCGTATTTCTGAAGCGCCTCCCACTAACAAAATAATCTTAAAGTGCTTGAAAAATTTAGCAAAAATATATCAATTATTCCATCAATCAATCGATCTATTTGTATGGCACCATTCCAACAGTTGTTGCTTGTGGTGCTGTTCCAAAAAAAGAGATATATCAGATTGAACCATAAAATACCCTTAAAAACCAAAAGGAAACAACTGACGTAAATTAAATACAATTACTCTGTTCAATGTTAGATTTCGTATAGTTTTATAGTTTAAATTTTATAATGATTACAAATACCATGTCCTCAGGAGTGAATACTAATGTCCTATTGTGTTTGTTGTTATAATTAATTTAGCTTAGTGTTTATTTTTTTCTAAATTTTTCATCATATTTCCTTAAAATCCAGGTCCCTTACTCCAGAATCAACCTTACTCCAGCTCAAGTACCGGTATGATCGTGAGGTCGACGAAAGTCAGCGATCGTCTATCAAGAGGATAACTGAAAGAGATGATACGCCATCAAAAACTCTTGTTCTGTGTGTTGCAGCGGCGCATGACAGCACCCAGCAATCTAACCAGTCCAGTAGCCAAGAGAAGTTAACACAGGTATCTGTCATTTTCGAAGTTTAGAATTTGTGGTACTTGGATCTTAATTATCTTCATCCAGAACTTATAGCCGCAATCGCACTAGACTTTTTTCGGTTAAACCGAGACGCTTGTTAGTTTTACCATAATTAGTTTGGCGCTAACAGCCCAGGAAACTTGCCTCCCAGAAAAATTACTGAGACGAGCGGTTAGCTTAACCAAGTGGATTGTGCCCAGTATAACTGACCAGAGTAGTTTAGACAAGCTGAAAAGTCCAATGCAAACAGCAGTTTTGGTTTAACTTTCCAGACACTTGAGCATTACTCAATGGATGATGTGTCTTATTAAGCTACGCTTCCTTTGCTGGTGTATTACGCAGTGTTTAAGGTCAAAGATTGTTCAAAACAATTAGTGGGATACCCCACTGTACTGATACAGCCCCTGTGGTGGACAACAAGAGTTGCCGAAGGGACTATTAGGGACGAAGAAAGTCATTGTTCAAATTACTAGTCCACACAACAAGCGCCATGAGCATCTTGTTTGATGGATATGTGTGCCATACAAATGTACCCTATTATGATTATTAAGATTCATGTTGTTAATATTCAAAATATGTATGGAATATCTAGTGATAATGACGTGTGTGGCTTATTATCTTTTAGTTGCAGACAACAACATTGGAGCTAACTGATGGATGGTACAGCATACATGCTAGTCTTGATTCTGCTCTTCAACGATTGGTCAAGACAGGGAAGCTAGTGATTGGTCAGAAGATTATCATCCATGGTGCTGAGCTTATTGGCTCGCAAGATGCCTGCCCTCCCTTAGAGGTATTCAATTAGTAATACAATTACAATGATTTCAGATTTTTAACAAGCATATTCTACCATATGGTGGGGTTGAAAAGAACGTCTAATCACCAACTTTCTCTTATAGTTGTTCATAATGGATTAGTCATGATGTGCCTATATATGGTAATGATGTGATGTCATCATGACCATATTTAGGCATGTCACATGATTTTGTCAAATAAATTTGTTAATCAGGACAGGGCTTTAATCTTGTTTAAAATGGCAATAATTTGTGTTACATCATTAACATGTTACCTCTAAGTGTCTTATGTGTTTTTTTAGGCACCATCAAGTCTGAGACTTAAGATATCAGCAAACTCAACTCGCAGGGCACGGTATGACGCAAAGCTAGGATATCAGCGGCGCCCTCAAGCATTCCCAGTACTGTTACCCTCAATTTATGCAGATGGTGGCATGGTTGGCTGCCTTGATGTACTAGTAGTCAGAACCTACCCTTTAATGGTAAGAAACAGTTGGAATAATCATATTTTTTTTTTTTTTTTGCATTTTGGCAGTACATTAAAAAAATAAAGTTTATTTTTTGTGTAAAGTGCCACTGAAATATAGTTCGACTTAGATTAAATTTGACTAAAGCAAAGTCAAATTTTATTTGAGTTATATTACTTACAATAGCAACCTGACTTGGAGTGTTAGGCTTTACTCAGACCTGGACAAATTAACACGCACTGACGGTATACACACGATATTGACCGCACATTTGGCCTAGGCTTAGAACTGTAGAAGTAAGGCCTAGGCTACCTAAAATTACCTTGAAAGCAGTATTCTTCAGAGTAGCAATACATTAATTCTTCAATTATTACAGTATATTTAAATGTTTTGTTAACTGCTACTATGCCATTCTTTTGAATACATTATAAAGAAGAATCAGTCAATACTTAAAGCTTAATCATATATACATTTGGTAAACTACCGTAACATTAATAACTGATTTTGCCATGAAGCAAACACGTTTTAAATACAATGAATTCGGTTGGAAAATCCCAAAGACCAAACTAATACTTACTAGGTAAAAGTCTATAATATATATATTTCAACACGTGTATTAATCGTAAGTAAACCAGATGTGTATACCCCACCGCAAAAAGGACCGTTCAAAAATCCAGCACTACTCATGCACAGGCTTGCTTCTCACTGCACAGCGAGAAGAGCAGGTGATGCTCTGCAGATAATTTGTATGCAACAAAGATCAGGTTAAAGATAAAACTAGCACATTTGTTTATGACGGGTTATTCCCTATATCTAAATTCCATAAGACATTTATTTTACAATTTGTGTACCTATCTTACAATACAATTTAATTTACAGTATTTAAAAAACAAACAAAACCTGAAACAGTGTGTCGACGTTGCCACATGTCTGAACAATAGTGAGGAATGTGAGTTGAGTCGCATGTAAAATAAACTACACAAAGTACTGCTATGCAAGGTAAACACGAGTCACTTGTCCGGCTTAATTAGCGTGTGAATTTCTGCATTGCCAAATGTATGAGTTACTTGTTGATGTTCACAGTGACAGCTTAAAATGATTGAAGTTTTACGTCAAGATTTTGACTTCGACTTACGGACTAACAATTAATGGAAAACAGATCAATTTGGCATGTAAAATATGTGCGACTTTTGTTTTTATTTAACTTAAATTTATATGAGTTAGCAAATATGGTCATGCATCGTGAGGTCGGACCCCAAAAAAGAGTGGATTTGTCACATCTGTTTGAAATTTTCATTTTTGATTAACAATAACTTTTTAATGCCTTTATGTGTAGGCTCATGTGTGGAAGCTCAATCGCCCTATTCATTATAGTGGGAATATTAAACAATACTGTGTTTTGATAATTTTTTTCATCAATTGGACTTTCAAAAAGACTGTTTTTAGTTGTAAAGTGGGGTAGCAATATATGTTGATTAAAAACCAACCTGACAAATATATAAATCTTGCGTTATTATGGACCGTTCCATTATTTCTTGCAGGGATTGCTTAAATGTATGTCGTCATTCAACTAAAATAATAGCACTACATTTAACATGTTAGTAATAAAATGAAGTATTTTATTATTATTACTTCATCAATGTGTGATTAATTATTAAATTTTGTTTTTCATAAAGGCACAGGGCCACAAGGGGCATGCTCAGTAGTATCTAACTTCAGTGAAGTTTTTGAGGCTTCCAACTGGCCTCAATAGAGAATAAATAATTGGCTTTTAAGACAAAATGCACCCCATTCATAACAAGTGATAGAAGTTTGATAATAGTTTGGATTGGATCAGTCCTCTCATTTGTAAGGATTCTATAGTGCTACAAGAGGTAGTAAAGATGACTTTTATGATTACTTACTATTACATGTTATGGGTATAGGTACCGTATGAAAATGTATCTGCGAGTGACAGCTATGGACATAACTATCCCAGAGGTACAAAAGTAGTGACTGGTTTTTATTATGAACATGAGCAATCTAACAGGAAAGGTGATCTTGTTCAAACTTACTAGAAATGTGGCCAGTGTACCCAAAAACTGCATCATATAATGTTGGGATTGCTTTGATATCTTGTGTGATTCTCTGTTCATAGAAGTAAAATTTAAACAAACTTTAATGCTCTAGAAGGAAAAGCTAAAGTTTAAACATACTGTATTCACTATTATAAAGTGATATTTGATGTTTTCAATGTGTAGTTGATGATATTTTCAACAATTCTTTGTAAAAATGCTTGTGTGTGAAAATTCAGTTTTCGTGAAATTTAATGTTTACTCATGACAAATTTATTACACTTCAATCCTTAAGAGTAGCGTATCATTTGAAAGCCTATCTTTGGGAATTTCAAAAACGGGAGTTATATGTTATATATTATGTATTATATAGGAATCATTTAATCATTTTAAAACATGTTTCAATGGATACCTTACAATGTGGGCTTTCCAAATATATATACTTTTACTACCTTCTGGTTAATACCCTTCAAGTTATATCAAAAATAGTGTTCCCCGTCGAAAAATGGTAAAAAAAACCTGGTATGACGCAAAATTATCCAACCTTACGAAGTGCGACCATATTAACCATTGTAAATATAAGGAAGATGACGTGACATAAAAATAATTTTGGCTTTGACAGTTTTTCGACTTGGGCACATTCAACTTAGGCGAGTTTGACTGTACTTAAATTTGTTATAAGTCAACCATTGTCTTTTATGTTCTAAATAGAACATAACCTTGAAAATAGTAGAACCATCCATCTCCATTCTAACCACCATATGTGCATCCTTATTCATTTGTCTTTCTTGTAGGATGTTTTTATATAATTTTATCAAAAAACTTCAATAAAAATAATAGATTCACTTTGTTGAAATAAGGGGGAGATGTTTAAAAAAAAATAACAAGTTAATATTATGTTTATCTGACAGGTATTGTCCACCACTGCACTCTTTAAAAAGATTATTAAAGATATTTGAGATATTGGTATTGGTAATGTAGTATTGCTAGGTATTGGTACATTGTTACTGCTGTACTTCTGCCCGTATACCTGTTACAGAGTACCTGTGTATTGTTGTTAGAATATGAGGAAGCTATGTTGCAAGTTTTATGTCCGACATTCCTCATAATTTTTTTTGTTTATGTAATCTAGCCTTTTGTGTAGTTAGACTGCATCATGACGGTAAATTGATAATGTTTGTAAATGTTACTGGATTGTTGTACACCATTTGTATTTGAATAACATTTTGAATTCCTAATATTTCCGCAGTATATGGAGAAACTGACAGAGGGCGGTTGTGTTTTCCGCACAGAAAAGTCGGAGCGCAAGGCCGCAGCCGATTACTCCAAGAATCATCAGAAGCGATTAGAGGAAATTTACGACAAGATCCGGTCAAAGTTTGAAAATACTTCCATTGGTAGGATTTTGATGCTTGTTTACAGCCCTTATTATTATTGTTATGTTATCATCGTCAACGTTATTAACAACAGGGTGGTTTTGATTGCACGACGATGAACGAACGTAATGACATCACTAAAAGTCATCTGCGTATGCAAGAACGTTAAGTTCTCGTCGCGCGGATTTTAGGGTGCAATTTGGCCAAATCTATGTGTGCAGAGAACGTATGAAGCCCCCGGTAGGATGGTCATGCATGAGTGATTTCGTTCCAGCGTCGCGTCGTCAAACAAATTGAAAGCTGCCTATTATTCTGCTAACTACTAGTTTAATGATAGATTAGTGGTAGCTGTTTGATGCAGCAGTTTGACACAAACTCTTGAAATTCAGGCGTTTTACTTGGCTCTTTTGTCACAACATTTATGTCTGAGCACTCCCTCAAATTGGCGCATTGATGTTTAGTTTATTGCGCCTTATAAGTCGAAGATTGGATTGGATTGGATGTTGGTGTCTTGCTGCCCAACTCTATAGGTGGCCACCAGCATACAAACAAAAATGATAGATAGGCAAACAGAATTTTTTTTTTTTCAAAAGCTTTTGAAACATAGAATAATCTTGCCGAGGCGTCAAAAAAAATGCGAGGGCACTCCCTCCTGTAATGGTTTACCATTTACCTTTTTAAAAAATAATGCATTATTTTGTCTAAGAAATATTAGTGTTCCTGCAGAAACAATTGCCACACTTAAACAGTGATTCTACGTTTTAATTTCAGAGTCGAAGAGTGCAAAACGACGCAGAAGTCTTAAGCTAACAGGCAAAGAGATTGCAATGTTGCAGACGGGTGGGGAAATACACGATGCCGTAGAAACAGCATTTGATCCAAATTCAATAGAGGTAAGAACATTTTTAATCTTACTACAACTTGACTTAGTGAAGAAACACCAAATACATGCTGTAACAGATCCTATAAAATAACAGGAATTTTTATTCTGACTGAAAACAATTCCACTTCATAATATACCTCATACGTAGCCCTGCTCGGATTGGGCTTTTTTGTCAAACTAACGTTGTATCTGCTCGGTTCACTCCCTCACACACACCATTCCCTCCCCACCAACATTCCTCCCCCCTCGCCACACCAAAAAAATCCAGTGCGAACAACCAGCCTAACATTCTCCTTTGTTATTTTATGTATAGATTGGATTAGGAAAATTACATACAATCAGAATTAGGAATTCTCCTAAAGACTAATGTAGCAATAGTCGCTGCCAATGAAGTGTATATATTTTATTTGCATTCTGTGTCACTGTCATGAACGAAGTCAAACATAATTACTTTGAGTTAATGCTCTGGAATAAGCTTGACCCAAATATTTCAGTTTGTGTTACAACATTTGATATGTACAACAACAGTTGAAAGTGTCATTTGTAAAAAAAAAAAAAAATGGTAATAAAAATGTTATATAATGTGTCGTGTGAAGGCTACCCTAGTTGGAGTTTTCAATTATTTAATCTTTTAAAGAATCTAGTTGTCAAGTTTGTATTTGAAATTTTTAAACTTCATAGTTGGAACTATTTTAGGTACAATGTTTTATGATATTTCATTGCTGTTTTAACCAGAATTATAATGACTTACTTTTTCCTTTTACATGTTTATCGATTGCAATGTTTTTAAGGTGTAAGGCGCTTTGGTCTCCTTTGAAAGGATAATGAATGATATATAATCAAGAACATTATTAACCCTATGATTGGAACAGATACCTACCAAACACATACTCAGCTCAAGGGTGCATTTTGCAATAAACTGCCTAACTAGCTTCAATATTGTAGAGTCCTTTATCACGAGACTTAAATTTAATAACACCAATATAAATTTGATAATTTTTTCTTGTAAAACAATTGTGAAACTTGTAACAAATATATGATATTCTTAATAGTTCTTTTCAACTATGATTTATTCAATCACATTAAAACATATTGTTTGTAGGTTCTTAATTAAATATTTTTGTTTTTGGTGTGTATTATCAATTATTCAATCACATTTGAGTTGTCACAAAATGGATCATATATTAAATATGAAATGAAGTTTTCAGTATATTCAGTTAGACAACATTATGAACCATGTTTCATTCCTTGGATCAATTTCCTTGGTTGAAATTCTGAACATGTTTGAAAACACACTTTAGAAAAACATACCTCTAAAGGTAAACAACTAATGAATTTCTTATTGAAATTCTGCAAAAATGGCTTTAAAAAATGTGCCTCAGAAATACTTATTGTATTGTAACACATCTTAATACAACCTTTGCTCTATTGACATATATATGTATTAATATACTGAAATCAAATCTTGATCATAATATGACTTCATACAAAAACTATTTTTCGTCTGGACACACTTTTTAATGACAGTTTATGACATTCTATATTCTTTGTTTTAATCATCTGACATTTTTCATGACATATCTGCTCTTGTTTGCCTATAAATTAAGGTGCAAATGAAGATCTGCACAAAAGTAATATATTCTCAATTAGGTTAATAATATTCCCTTGTGTGTTTAGTGGTTGGTTTCAGTGTTGTTATTGCATTATTTGAAGGTGGCGCTTGTGAGTGATGATTTGTAAACCACTGTTTGTCACTTTGACCTCCGATGATTAGTACCCAAAATTTACTACAATTGCGTAAAATATAATAATAAGCGATTATCAATATTATAAAGCTTTGGGTACACTATTTCAAACTGCTGAGAGTTTGTGTCCTCTTCTTCCTTCCTTTATTCTTTCTCAATTTGCGTTATTTTTATTCATAATTACCCATAATTAACGGAATAATTTTTTCCTAAATTCACTATTAGATAGGTTTATCTTCATAAGACTTTCTACGAATGGATACTTTGTTTGAAGCAAGAATTAAAGAAGTCTTTACCCAGTACCGCTTGTTTATATTATTCGTTGGGAAATTTCTCTTACATTATGTGTGGGTTCTTCTGCAGTAGGCTGTTGTATACAAAGATTTATTATGTACACTTAACATTCTCCATGGAATCGAAATTCAAACTTTGACAACATTTGATTTGTTTTATTGATATTTATGTGTCTGGTGTACCAATGCGAATATCGCCATAAAGTCAGAAGATATTAAGGAGGACAACCCACTTCTAGTTGGGTAAAACCAGTGGAGCTTGCCTAAGTGTCAATCAAACTTGATTGACCAATTAGAACATCCTTATTCATGTTTAACAAATTCATATTCAGATTCAGATAACATTTATTTCAATAATAATCACAAACTGATACACTAATAACAATGCATAAGTAAACAAAATAACAACAATCACAAAAATTGGAAAACATTTTTATTTTGGGTCTTAGCTAGAAGTAGGTACTTGTCTCACTAGGACCCAGTAAAGAGGTAAAATGGAAGCGTATATAAAACAAGATGTTAACTAAATAATATAGCATACTTTTTTTTTTCACTAAACTTAACTAATTCATATTTCTCCAATTAAATAATTAATAAATGAAATAATTACAAATATATATATTGATAATTCCATATAAACTGTATTTCTTTCCTTTTTTTTTTCTACCTTTTCTTTTTTTTTTTTATAAAAAAAATTAGGCCTGTATTTTACCTTAATTTCACTCTAAATATTCTTAATAGAAAATGAAAGATTTAAATATAAATACTTAAACTTAGATGAGTTTTATACTTATAACTACAATTTTTTTAGCATTGATATAAATATTTCCGCAAGAAACTAAAATATAAGTTGTACCAGTATAAAATACTAGATAAACATTAATATTGGTAATAGGAATAATAGCAGGCTATCATTATAAACCTACATAAACACAAGTTTATGTAGGTTTACACTTTTTAGTTCCCACACTTTAACAAAAGATTTAGGGGAGACATAAGTGAAAGGTATATGGAAATGGATATTTTAAAAAGAATCAATGAGTCGGTGTCAATTATTAACAATTGCTCTGACTGAAGAAATCTTGTTTAAGTGCACTATGCCGCAAGACGTTGAGAGACACTATACAATTGCAACATTGCAACATTAACAACTTACCCTCATTCCACTTTTTAATAACTCTAAAAAATTTTTTAGTTAGCTGCACTTGTTATTATTCTGTGTCAACTTGATTTAAGGAAATGGTCGCTGTTGCACCTTCACTTATGGATTTTTAGTCTTATAATAATTAATTACTTCATAAAAATGTTATGACACCTCCGAGAGGCCGCCAAACATGGTAAATCAGCATTGAAGTAGCAAAGTTTTATGGAGGTCTCCAGATCTGTTGCTAGCAAACAATAGCATGATTTAGGACATACTCTACAACAGGCGCCTTTAGCATCTTCCTTTACTTTTAAACCTTCAATAATATTTTGACAACAACCATATTATGAATGATAAATCAAATCTTTATGAATCATTTTCCAAGTGATTTATTGTAGGTATGATTTTTAGTATAATTTAAGGTTAATTTGCCTTGTGCTTACATGTTATCTATAGGACCTCGGAGGCTAGTAAAGTTAATGGTTTTACTGACATGTCATGCAATACAGTCATGCTTTTTTGGTACTGTATTCTTTTGTTTATTGTTGTATTTATTTATTGCATTTTTTTTTTTCTTTGATACTTTAATAATATATGTTATGTTAATTGATGAGGAAATATTTTCCTGTTCTTATTTTTAATTAAAAGTTAACTTAAATAAATTTATCAATCAAAAATTTATATTTAGTTATTTTATATATTTTTAGGGATTTTTTGGTTTTGTTTGATACAGATTATTTTTAAATTTTGATATATTTATTTTTTTATATTTATGTAGTTTGTAAATTATGTGCATATAGCTTCTTTGCCTCAGAGAATATGCTAATATGCATTTAAATAAATTATTTTATGGAGAATAAAATAATAAAAAACAAAACTTGTTATCTAGGATTGGCAATGCAAAACAACAATTGTAAAGCAATTAATTTACACAATATATAAGATTATTTGTAATCTCAATTTTATTTACATTTATAAGCATATGAATTGAATAGTAAACCTTGCCATGAACTCAAAGAAACAGAGGTAGTGAGCCCCCTGGTAGCCATATTCAAAAAGGTTGCTCAGTAATTTGTCAGTGAAACAGTCCAATAAATTGAATTAACTACTGTATACAACCTGCTTCAATTTATTTCACACCTGTACTATAGTACATCCTGATCCTATTCAATTTTCAGTACGTATAGTATTTTATTTGTTTGTTGTATTTGTTTATTACTAATTGTTTATAATTAAACTAATTCCTCTATTATTTATTTAACAGTTTAGTTTTAAGTATTCCCTTTTTTTGACATTGTACTAGGCCTATGCTCTTGTAATATAGCTTTTTCTTTATTGTTTGAAGTGATTTTTTTTTTTTTTTTTTTTCCCTTATGTATGAATTCACCATCACTGATGTGTTCCGCTGTTTCGAAAGTGATTTCCAAATTTATATTATTGTTATTGCAGTAGTACCGTTCTTTAGTTCCATGGACCACAACTACCAGTCTAAAAAGGAATCTGTATTATTGTGTATTTTTTTTGTTTGGTCCCTTTTTAATCCCTTGATCAAAATATAATAAATTATATTATACGGTACACAGCCTATGATATTAGTGGCTTAAAAATGATATAAAACAATATTTATTTATTTATTTATTTAGTCTTACTTTATGCTGTAGGCATTTTCAGTACTATAATACTAATTTTCAAAGTGGTACAGTGATGAGAAACATATATACAGTGTAATAAACAATGAATTAAAAAAGAAATACATAAATAGATAAAACCATTACTTGAAAAACAGAATCCAAGTGGAAAAAGGAGCATTACGACATTCTTAATAAAT